AATCCCGGGGGCAGAGGAACCTGGTGGGCTACAGCCTGTGGGGTCACAAAGAGTGGGAATGAAAGGTAGATTTAAATGCAAACATGTGGTGTGACAAATTCACAACAGCATTAAGAATCTGTTCCTCAATTAAGGACCATGGGATGACTACGATGATGATAATGGTCACAAAAGCTTTGACACAGTTCCTTTGAGGTAATTGATTTCTTCCTTCCTCCTTTTTGCTGCCTTATATTGTACATACATCTTGAAAAAAAACCTGGTAAAGGGGAAATGCCACATTGGCTATATAAGGAAGGTTAAAAAAAAAAGGTCAATAAGTATAAACAAAATTTAAAAAGAGGCTTTTCTTGGGAAGGAAATGGAAAGGACCAGTAACCTCCACCTCGCCCTTTGGTTATTTGTAAGTTTTGACACTTTTCTGTCTCTAAGAGGCAATCAGATGCAGTGACCAGCAGAAAAGAGATAAATGGTAGCAAAGCAAAATCAATAAAAGGGCACTATAAAACCCAATGTGATTTTTCTTTAGTCCAGGGAGACAAGCCATATTCATTTTCTCTTACCACATTCTTTTCAAGCTTTAGTTTCTAAGCAATGGCCTTCAGGCATGGAATAAAAATAGCTCTGCAGTTAAACCTACTTGCTGTAAGATCTGGGGGCAAGTTATTTAACACAAATTTCCTTACATGAACAGTGAGGATAATACATATCTTACAAGGTTGTTGGGGGGCTCGAATGAGATAATAGCTATAAAGTGTCACATAGCAAATGCATAACAAATGTCAGTCTCTTCCATTCCCCTCATCCCTGCCAAGATGTATCAATTTTCCTTTATGTTGACTTTAAAAATTCAAGCCATTGAAAATCAAAAGTTCAAACAAAGGACATTAAAAAAAAATCTGAATTCTTCATTTCACCCTGTGCAGAAGAAACCTTTCTGACAGTATCTTTGCGAATTTAGATATTTAACAACGTGCATAAACTTAAAGAAACAGTCACGAAACCCCTCCTTTACAATATTTCCCACGTTCATCCTTTCCTGTCCATTCCCTTTACAGCCTTGCTGGATTGGCACTTATTTAACCAGATAACATGAAAAAGATTGTGGATCTTTCATTCTAAGCCTAAGTTTACCAGCAAGGAAAACTGAAGCCCAGTGTGACTTGCCTACAGGCACTAAGCTAGTTGACAGCAGAAAGTAGACAACAGCCTCTGACGCTTTTTGCAAATTAAGTGCCTACAGGGGTCAGTAGGTAAAAGAGAAGACAGCCCAAGTAGGGAGCACAGATGTTCTGAGCTGTGAACCCCCCCTCACAGTTATCATGTGGGGAAGAGGGCCAAGTTGCTAGCACTTCTGATGTTTAAAAAGATCATGGAAATTTGAAACCTTACATACTCATTTTTTAAATGTTGGCAATGTATTAAACATTTTTAAACCTCTGTGCAGTTTGACACAAGACACATCTACAGGCTGGATTCAGTCCACAGTTGGCCTGTTTGAGGCTCCTTCACACTGCTAACTCTAATTCAAATGTCTTTCATTTGCTTTGGGAGAAGGAAATGGCAACCCACTCCAATATTCTTGCCTGGAGAATCTCAGGGACAGAGGAGCCTGGTGGGCTGCCGTCGATGGAGTCACACAGAGTCAGACATAATCGAAGCGACTTAGAAGCAGCAGCAGCAGCAGCAGCATTTGCTTTGATTGCTTCACTCCCTGTTCACAAAACAACCTTCAATGGCTCCCCACTGTCTACCGGATAGAGTCCAAACATCTTAACCCGATGTCCTTCAAGGCAACTCATGTTGATATGTAAGACCTGAAACTGTCCTTCCACTTTCCAGTCACGGTCAGTTTTCCACTGCAACCAGAATGGCCACTGACTTCTACTCTACATACAAAGATGTTCAGAAGGGCACCTGTCCAGACCACGTGGGCTGCTCCTTTGTCTCCAGACTTTCTCCTTTCTTGGAGTGCCTTCCATCTGTGCACGCTCATTAATGAAACTCTGTCTTTAAGTGTCCACAAACAGCACTTCTCTGGAAAACATTCCTGATGGCCCCTGCTGAAAGCCACCTTGTTCTGAATTCCCAAAGGACTTTATATCCCTCACATGACACTTAAAACATACTGCCTTGCTTTAGAGTTACCTAAATAGCTTGTTTCCCCAAGCATCTAATACCAAGAAGGAAGGAAGAGTTTGAGTCAAAAGACTATGTTGAATATTCCACAATGCTTTGTACAAAGTGGGGAGTTCAATAATCATCTTAGAAGCATTGTCTTCTTATACTGAAAACTTGTGGATCAAACATAAAGAAAATACCTTTGCAGAACTTAGTTGGATTTATACTTATATAGTCAGATGCCTAAGTAATGCAGACTGGGCAAAAGCCTTGCTTCCCTGATTCCCTAGAACACTTTCCCCACTGAACTCCCACTTATTACTTGTTTGGGGATTTCTTCCTCTAAAACCACTCACATCTTTGCCTTAGATGCCACTGATTCTAAGAAGGCACTGTTAAGTATTCATCTGTCACCTGAAATGTGTTTCAGGGAAGTTGCTCTTTTTCTGTGAGTAAGGTTAATTTATCAGATCTGATGGTTATCTCATGAAAAAACACAGAGCTGAGTATCACTGAACAGACACTGTCCAAATATTTCGGTAGTGATAAAATTCATTAAACTCTGGCTATCCAGTAATCAGGGCTTCCCTGGTGGCTCACTCAGTAAAGAATCTGCCAACAATGCAGGAGTATGCTTGCAATGCAGGAGACTGGAGTTCGATCCCTGGGTTAGGAAGATCCCCCAGAGAAGGAAATGGCAACCCACTCCAGTATTCTTGCCTGGGAAATCCCATGGAGGGAGGAGCTTGGTGGGCTATAGTCCATGGGGTCGCCAGTCGGACACGGCTTAGCGACTAAACCACCATCCAGCAGTCAAGGTTAACTTTGAGTGTGGAAGTCCTAAACTTATATCCCTTATTTTGTTTTCTTGAAGCCACTCCCATTTGCAGCTATCTATAATCAGTTAGGGTTTCCCTCCTGGCTCAGATAGTAAAGAATCCACCTGCAATGTGGGAGACCTGGGTTCAATTCCTGGGTTTGGGAAGATCCCCTGGAGGAGGGCATGGCAACCCACTCCAGTATTCTTGCCTGGAGAATCCCCATGGACAGAGGAACCTGGCAGGCTACAGTCCATGGGATCACAAAGAGTTGGACACGACTGAGCAACTTAAGCACAGTACATAATCAGCTAATGTCCAAAAAGAAAAGAAAAATTAGATTCCATTTTATTTCTACTGGCCTGCTCAGCACAAAAGGCACTCAATAAAATGTTTGCTGAATGAATTTTTTAAATTCCAGTTTTACTTTTGCTTAAAAACAAATGCAATCAATAAAATACCACAATCTTATAAGATAGCCTAAATCTGAATAATAATGGGAAAAGTTGATACAGTCTTATCTCAAACTAGCTATGGTTCAGGTGTCAGCTGAGTAGTTGCAATTAGCATACTCCTGATACACTCTTTCTAACCTGTACAAACCTATACAGTCAAAGGCAAGTTAAGCCTTGCAAACATAAAGTTAAGTTTTCACATTTATGTCACATGATAAGCGATGTTTGGTGTCAGAGAGCCAAGACAATCTTGAATTCCAGGAAGCATTAAAGAAAACTAATGTCTACAGAGGTTTCCGCTCTGCAAACACTGTTTTCTCCTGTTTTGGATGATGCCATCTCAGGTCACATTTACTAACTCTTTAATTCCTTACCAAAAAGACAAAAAATCAGTCAACTTTTATTGGGACTGCTTCTAGCATTAGCATATTATAATATGCTTTATAACACAAGCTAGCATAAGCATAGTATAACAGATATGCTCAAAGAACTTCCCATGAAAAGCAGTCTTTGTAAGTCTTGGTAGAAGGAAGGAGAAATGGAATATAACAGGTTCAGTGTCCTCTCATTTTTCCTGTTTTAGTATGTTTTGTGGTAAAACACACTCAAAGTGACATTCTCTCCTCTGTTGAAAACTAATAAGGTGGGCACGTTTATTGTCTTTATATAAGTAAATAATCTTCTGAGTTAAATTTTTGAAAACAAAATTCTAACATTTCAGAAACTAACATTCAAAACACTTGGCAAGCATAAAGGCTTCCAGGTGTTTGATTAGTGGTTAAAGCCCCTGATTTAGACCAACAACAGATATTTTATAATTACACTGTTGTAAAATAAAAAGACCTATTGATTTGTTAAAGAACAAGAACAAAGTAACACATTATGAAAACAGAAGGAAGCCTGGAATAATCCACCATATCAAGATCACTTGCTCTTTCCTGAAAGAATATAAATGTGGCTAGAGGAAGGGCTTTTTTTTTTTTTCCTCCTGCTCTTAAACCAAGCCTGAAATAAATGGGCAGCTCCAATCCCCTTTGATCTTGTTAAATGTGTGTTTCCAGCGTACATGGGCGTTGTTGAGGCTGACGACGTTTTCCCAGAGGGTCTGTGAGCAAGGAGAGAGTCTGGCAACTGCAACGTGAGAATGTCAGTGTTCCTTGTGCGGAAATGGAAGGAGCTGAGCTTACACTGGGGACACACACACACAGTCACGCTCAGAGCATCTGCACAGAGGTGCTATCTGGTGGCCTTGAATCAGTTCTCTGATTCTGAGAATACAGTCTCACTCATGTTTTCAACTGTGAAACGATCCTGGGGGTGAATATGGGTGGAGGAGGTTTGCCCCCACACGCCAGGGCGGGTGAATTCAGGCTGGAGAGGCGGGATGTCTGGGGACACAGAGGCCCAGAACCGCCGGCCTGTGTGACCCACTCCCGGGGGCGGCTGCCCAGGGCTTCCCCGCTCTCCCGAACGCGGGGCAGTGAGGTCCACGTGTGGAAACTGCGGTCAGCTCTGCCCACGTGGGCAGCCCTGTGTTCTCGGGACCGTCGGCCGGAGGGCGGCCCCAACCCGGTCCCCACCGGGCGGCGGGGCGGCCGGCCCTTACCTGGTTCCGGCGGTACCATGCGCCCGACAGGGAGCCATTACCGGCGCCCCGCGCCCCGTACGTGAAGTTCCGAGCCAGCTCGTCCAGGACGGCCGANCCTTGCAGTCCAAGGGACTCTCAAGAGTCTTCTCCAACACCACAGTTCAAAAGCATCAATTCTTCGGTGCTCAGCTAGCTTTTTCTTTTTTTTAGTTCTACCACTTTATTGCTACCAACCCATCTCCCTCCACCCTCGTGCACACATGCTCAGTCATGTAACCCCATGGACTGCAGCCCGCCAGGCTCCTCTGTCCATGGACTTTGCCAGGCAAGAATACTGGAGTGGGTTGCCATTTCCTTCTCCATCAGCTTTCTTTATAGTCCAACTCTCACATCCATTCATGACTACTGGAAAAACCATAGCTTTGACTAGACAGACCTTTGTTGGCAACCCAAAGCAGCCACCTTTTTCGGTAGCTGGCAATCCAGCTCTCTATCTCAGATGCAGAGTTTCTCACTTATATTTTTAAAACTGTTTGCATATGGAAAATTCAGGAGTTCCCAGCAAATTTTATATGCAACAAGAGAATAAAGATCTGAGAGATTACATCTCAGGGCCAACACTTGACAGAACCTTAGCAGTTATTCCTAGAAGGAAAGAAGGACTCTCCTCTCCTGGAGGACCCCAGCGTGTATCTGGGACTGGATGGGCTTCCCTCGATGGAACCAGAAGGACTTGCTGGAAAGTTGCCACCCACTGCGTGTAACAATTTAGGTGGGGAGATGATTCGTAATGGGCCTATGGAACTCTAACCAGATGTTCTGGTTTTACCTGTATTCAAATAATACTGAGTTACTACATGTGATGTTAGGTCCCTCTAGCCTTGGGAATTCCTTGATTCTTTATTGTTGCCCTGAAACTTGTGATTCTTTCATTGGCACCATGCTGAGTCTTCTTATATAAGGTGCTTTGACTGCCCTGACTTCATGAGAGAGAGACCTACAAGAGGAGAGAATTGCTGCTTAGCAGGGAATTAGGAGGTTTTCAATGTTCTTAGGGACATGTGCAAATGAGAGAATAAAATGAGGAAAAAAAAACAACACAACATTTCAGATGAAGGAAAGACAAGACATCTCTGAAGTTGTAGTTTCCTGCTTGAGTACTCAAAATATTCAGTGAACAGTTAATATGGTAGCTAACTATTTCCAATTTTGCAGCTCATTTATTTCCAATAAGTATCTGAAGGGAACAGTGTCTATTTTTAATATTTCCTATGACGTTATATTACTTTGTACTGGTGACTTTATTAATGTTCCTTTCAGTTGAGATGGTTTGGGGTACAAGTAACAGAATATCCAAGTAAAAGTGGCTTAAGCAATGACCATCTGTTATCTCCAGTGGGAGGGGGGCTCTGTGCGGTTCTATCACGTTGTCACCTCCATCTTTCTGCTCTGCCGTCCATGAGGTATTGGCCTTGTCCCTATTCGTGGTGGCAGCTCTAGACACTGCATGTAAACATGATCACATTTAGAAAAGAAGTGAGGCTTTTCTCCTTAAGCATCTTTTCACTAGATAGGAAAGCTTTCCCAGAATCCCACCCTCCCCCGCCCCCCAGCTGCCTCCCCCTCTCCGATCCCATTAGCCAGGACTGGATCACATGCCAGGGAGGCTGGGAAAGTGACTGGTAGGCATTTCCAGGCTTGGGAGTGGGAGGTGAGCCCCGCTGGTGAGGAAGAAGCAGGATGGGGTGGGAGGGCATCACTAGCAGAGCTTGGCACAACCATTGTATAGTGTATTCTATCAGCCAGATTGTAACTAGTCACAGGGTCTGCAACGAGCAAACTAATAAATGGATCGTGCCCACTGCCACAATAAAGTTCACACTTCTTCAGTCTATCAGTAGGAGACCCTTTATGAGCTGGCCCCCATTCTCTACTACATTTAGCTCATTCTCATTTTATTTTTGAAATAAAAAATAATTTTCAGTTTCTTGGCATTTTTTTTAAACCTTTACTTTTGGAGGATGATGGCACTTGGTGCAGAAGGGATATGATGTATACAGCCTGTGATGTGCTCTGCTCTAGACGCCAAGATGTCACTGCAGTTGCTGACTGTCCTAGTGTGTGGGGGTGGTTGAAACAAAGGATTCGTGACCAGTGCTCCTTCCAACACAGTTCACAAGGAGGCAGCAGGAATGCCATGTGAGCTATTTTGGTCCCAGGAGTGTAGGCAGCGCCGGAGGCTGTTCCGGGCATTGTGATGGCCTGTGCCTCTTGCAGGGTTTCTTCGGGGGCTGTTCTGTTCACTTTACAAGATGCCAAAAGCCTTTGATCAACCTCCTGTCCTCAGTGCTGGAACAGTGGCGGTCTGCCTTCCTCAGTTAATTCAAAGGATTCTATTCTGGGGCCACATCATTTGAAGCTGGACTTTACTGTGAACCTGGAGAGCAGGGTTACATTTTGCCCACCTTGCCTAGGATCACTTGCTTATAGCCTCTACAAAATAGTTTTGTTTTTTTAATTCACCTTTAGCATGAGTCAGTCAATGATAATTTTTCACTACTGATGAATGTCTATGGGGATAAGGTAGATATTAGGGTAAAGATTAATTCAGGTCTCTTACATCATATACAAATGACAACCTCAGAGTAAATAATGAGAAAGGTAAATCTCCAAATTCTTTTGAACTAACCAGATGATCTCTACAGTTGACAGTATAAACAGTCTTTAAAGTGCAAATGCTAAAGGCAGATGGTCACATTCTTATTCTACCACTTATTTACTGTGTGACAGTGATCAGGTTGCTTAATTTCTCTGTGTCTTACATTCATCATCCATGAAAGGGAGTTAAGAGTACTGAAACATAGTTCTCAGTAAGGAACTTCCCTGGTGGTCCAATGCTTAAGACTCTGAGCTCCCAATGCAAGGGGCCAGGTTCAACCCCTGGTCAGGCAACTAGATCCCGCATGCCACAACTAAGACCCAGCAGAAACAAATAAATAAATATATGCCACCCTTCAGCATCTATCCAGTGAAAAACAAGGTCCAAAAGGACACATGCACCCGTGTTCATTGCAACACTGCTTACAATAGCCAAGACAAGGAAGCAACCTAAATGTCCATTGACAGAAGAATGGATAAGACTTAGAGAACTAACTTACGGTTACCGAGGGAAGGGATAGTTAGGGAGATTGGGATGGACATGTACACACTACTATGTTTGAAATAGACAGCCACCAAGGACCTACTGTATAGCACATAGACTTCTGCTCAATGTTACACGGCAGCCTGGATGGGAGGGGAGTTTGGGGGAGAATGGATACATGCATATGTATGACTGTGTCGCTTTTCTGTGCACTTGAAACTATCACAACATTGTTAACCAGCTATACCCCAATATAAAATAAAAAGTTTAAAAGAAAAATAAAAAAACAGTAAAATCAACCCCCTCAAAAATCTTATAAAAAAGAAAGAAAAGACTCACTAAGTGCTGGTGTTTACTATTACCTTGGTGGCGTTTGATCACTAAGTCATGTCTGACTCTTGCGACTCCATGAACTGTAGCCTACTGGGCTCCTCTGTCCATGGGAGTCTCCAGGCAAGAATACGGGAGAGGGTTGCCATTTCCTTCTTCAGGGGATCTTCCCGACCCAGGAATTGAACCGAGGTCTCCTGCATTGCAGGTAGATTCTTTACTGACTGAGCTACAAGGGAAGCCCAACTATTACCTTGGATACTACTGTTACCTTAGGATGGGGAAGTATTCCTTAAACAAAGGGAAAAAAATGCAAACCACAGAGGAAAAAATGGACACATACCATTAAAATAAAATTAAGAACTTTTATACCTCAATAGACCATAAAGTATAAAAAGATAAGTCACAAACTAAGAATATTTATTTGTTGCATATGTGATTAACAAAGGATTCACATCCAGAAAATATAAATAACAGTTAAATAACAAAAAAAATCAGGCAGCCTCGTGGAAAAATGGGCAAAAAATATAAATAGGCATTTTTCATGAGAAAATACAAATGACTCATAAACACATAAAATGCTTCCATGTCATCAATAATCAGGAAAAGCCAAGTTAAAATCCCAATAAGAACCATTTTTCACCTGCTGGTTTGGCAAAAGAAAAAAAAATTTTTTTAATTTACAAAATATCTTGGTACATTTGGGAACACTACTGATTGTGTAGCTTATAAACAACAGAAATTTATTGCTCTTAGTTTTGGAGACTGGAAGTCCAAGATCAAGTAGCCAGCAAGGTCATATTCAGGGAGGCCCTCTTGCTGGTTCATGGTGAGCACCTTTTTGCTGTGCCTTCATATGGTGAATTGAAAGAGGCTAGGGATCGCTCTGAAGCCTTTTTATCAGGCATTAATCCCATTCATGAGGGTTCCCCTCCTAAAGCTTCACCTACTAATACCAGTCCCTTTTGGGGAGGTTGGATTTTAAATAATAGTTCTGGAAGGACACAAGCATTTAGACCAAATGCTGGTGAAGATACGGAGCATCAGAAACTCCTATTCATTGCCGATGCCATAGATACTGGAAATTGGATGTTGTTTGGTAAAGACAAAGGTGCATGTATAAATTTCACTCTTATACCCCAGAGAAACTTCTGTGTGTGGATAGCAGAAATATACAAGGATAACAGGACTGTTTGTAATAACAAACAAGCAAACAAACCTGGAAACAGCTCAAGTGTCTATCAACAAAATTAGTGGGCAAATGAACTTTGATACATTTATATGATGAAATACAATACATTGAGTACATCCATATGTGGGAACATTTGAAGAAAAGCAAGGGAATGAAAAAATTTGGATAGTGGTTCAAAGGTATTGGCAATGTTCTATTTCTTAAACTGGGCACGGTCATTCATTTTATTATTAAAGATATACATTTATGTGTAATATGACATAACTTTCTATGTATGTTTTTATGTTTCTATGTATATTTCTATGTAAAATATACTATGGTATATTTTATAAGTAATTCAGGAAAGCACACAATTTTGTGGTCAAAGTTTCCAAAAGTTCAGGGTCCTTAGACCTGGATTTCACTTCAGTCTTCTGCTCTTTATCAGTTATATGGTTTTGGACAAATTCTCT